GCCCGCCGCCGCCGCCGCCGCAGCTCCCGCTGCGCTCTTGCACGGTAACAGGTTCTGCACTTTCCGCTTGTGCCTGCAACAGAACGACGATAATTTCGTGGTTAGTTGGATGTAGATTGTGTAGAGATAGGTAGAGGTAGGCACTCTCGGTTGCTTCTGTTGGATTATCGGTAAGGATCGGGGGATGATTCTCGGTAATGGTATTTGGATTTTGGTGGATTTGTGATCGAGGTTCGGGAAAGTGTATTTAAAATAATAACTGATTGAGAAAAGTGAAGAAACCAAGCTGTTTCCACTGTGAATGTCTCTCGCAGGAGCTTTCTACTCAAGGTCTCCTCTCTTCCGAAGGCAGAAACACTAAAGTGTGCCAAATCCCCCAAAATTTCATTATTCATTCCACCACCAGGATCCGTATCAATCATTCCCCACGTGACGGAGGAAGTTAAATCGCGACGAAAGACGTGGCGTGTTCCCACACAGTTTTACCATCCTAAATCTCCAATATTTATACCAGCTAATGTTACAATGCTCCCTCTCGGTTCATTCTAAAGAGGAAATCTCGCGATGGAAAGACCTATGAAGTATCTAAGACCCGAAAGCGGGTCGAGGAGCAAATAAATGGAAAGAAATTGGGACGGAGGTGGAAGTTGAAAAGTCGAGCGACATCGAGGACACCGCACAAGCAGCGTGACGACTCGCTTCCAAAAGCTATGTCGATATTTCTCCTCTTTCCTTGGCCTACACTTCGACGTCAGCTCGCTCTGACAAATCTCCAGATGCTTTTTAGACCCGGGTCTTCTAATTTTCCACCGAAGATCGGCCGGTTGACGCGTGCCACGGGCAAACTTTCGATGGTCACGTTTAATAGAACGTCTCCGGTGACTGATAAAGAGCCTCTTCAGCGGCGCAATAATTCTCTCTCTCTCTTCGTAGATAGATAAAGAGAGAGAGAGAGAGAGAGGAAGAAATTTGCCAGGCTGGGCAAAAAGACAAGGAATTTCTCGTTAAGGGTGGCTCTATTATGGGAACAGGTAGATCCTGGTCTCATCTACGGTCCCCGCGGAAAGTTTGTCGGCGGAAGGCGGAACGTTGGAAGAAGCTCGATTTGCGGTGCGCCGTCAATCTCGCGTTCCATCTTTCGAGGAGGAGGAGCACCAGCCACCAGCAGCTCACGGATGGCAAACCGCGGCTACGTGTACGCTTGCTTCCGTCGGTACGCCGCCCGTCCAACCGAGTAAAGTAGTTTACCCTTCAAGTTTTAATTATCTAATTAACTCCGTCAGTTCGATAATATTTGCCTGTGTAATTAAACCGCCAACTAAGGTTAACAACTTGTGGCGCACTTCCAATAGTAGGTCGTCGAGGTGAATGGCTCAGCCGAAACGGATATATCTGTGTGCATAATATGAGAACAGATCCGTCTTGTTTAACGAGTGAAATTAATCGTCTACGTTAGTGAGAAGCTTATCAATCGATGGGATTATCATCTGCAACGTTACTCTGAAAAGAGGGAAATGCTCTTTTCCAGAGGGCGGGAGAAAGAAAGAAACGTGCACGATTTTGGCTTTAATTCAAGGGAGCGATTGTTAGCCAGGGTCCAGGTCGTATAATGAAAGGCAAAGAGCGGAAGGGAGAAACGAAATTAGTTGGAGAGGTGGTCGAGCCCTAAAAGATTATACCGGGCTCGGGCAAAGAGCCAGTTACGTCGTAAAACAGGAGGCAAAGGCGGTTTAAACGAGAAAGCCCCGGGAGGAGAACCGAGTCGACCTCTGGTTTCGGGGAACCGGTGGCCTCGTAACAGACCAGACATTCTCGCCGCGTGGACGTTCTCCGTGTTTCACGGTCCGAGGGTTGAAACCATCGCGAAGCGGATTCACGCGGAGTCGAGCGCCTTGGTCAGAAGGTGTACGACGTGTATAAACTAGCCATCCTCTCTCTCTTTCTCTCTTGCCTCTTCTGCCGGCAAGATTTCAATTTGCCTAATGCCGTTGCGACTGTCAGCCGTGGCGCGACCGCACTTAGCGGTGCTCTTAACGCACGCAGACCGCCAACACGGTTCGCGAACCTTACTCTCTCTCTCTACTCGCCTCCGCACGCTTATGGTTTTCGCTGGCTTCAGGCGAGAGCAGTGTACCGGATGCACGTGGAAAGCGTAGCACCCGCTGTGCACCTCGGTTCTCAATCGAGTTCCCCGCTCGCAGATTCATCTCTGCTGCGTTTTTATCTTTCTCTCGTTGTGAGTGGTTGTGCTAGTTCATTTCACCCGTGTGCGTGGAATGGAAATAAATCCTACGGCGATTTACGCGTCGACGGAGGATTACTCGAGGAGAGCAATTGTCAAGGATATCGCGTGCGGTATATCAAAGAAACGCATAAACCCTGTCGATGGACGAATCATAGAAAGGAGGGACGTGTCGTAAAGCGCATATTGCATGAGAAACACTGGTTCGCTGAATGCACCTGGAGTAGGCTAGTCGTGTTCGTGATCGCGTACCCGTGCTAAACATGGTATCGCGAGCTTGCGGTCGTATAACGGACCATAAAGCGCTTTGTGGAGTGTCGACCCTTCGTGCACACGCGCACGCATTCGTCCAAGGGGTCCCCTGCACTCTTGCAAACACACCATAGACGTCCCGGGCTCTCCTTTTTCTCGACGCGAGAGAAATTCGCGAGAGTTGGTCGTTGTTCGACCGACCGACAGCTAATTTAACTAGGTTAAATCTGAAATTTTCTCGATGAAAGTGAACGTGAACATCATAGGTACAGAAGATGGGCCAAGTTCTGGCTGGTCCAGCCTTCATGGCCATCGAAAACCAGCACTGGGATTGCCGCTGATGGATTTCGAGCAGCCGTTGTCCGTCGCGCGTAACAGTCTCTACGGAAACAGATGGAAACTTCCGGCGTTTCTAATCAAACCCATTCTGGCTGGGGCATAGCACGGCCAGAATCAAGCCCCAGGCCTTTGTGCCCTCTGATTCTCCTCCTCCTCTCTCTTTCTCGCCATATTCCCCCCGTAGATATCGTAATGATTTTTCATTAAACTCGACGTCCGTCTATCCCTCTCTGTCCGCCATTCCCCTCCCATTCGCAGTCAACGACGCTCCGTCAGCCATCTCCTAATGGATTTCATTTAGCCGCGACGGGAAGTCAGCCGTTTCTCCGCGGACAGACACCCGGGGAGAAAGAATCGAAGCTCGTGGAGGACGTAGGCGACGGCTCGCAGCAATCGGGACAAAGGGTTTAAGGATAAAGGGTTGCCGCGTTGCGTAACGAACACGCGATTCGTTCGCATCTCGACGTTTCTTCGAGAATAGGTCGTTTAAACGGTCCTCTTCACTCGAGATAATTAACCAGGCGCGTGCAGGTTGCTTTCGCGTCGCATCGCTGTGTGTCACCGTGCTTTCCTACTCATCTGCGATCAGCCGAGCTGTCTATTCTCGATTCCACGCGACATCCTCTCACGGATCGTTGGTCGATTTGTTCGCAAGTTTGCGACCGTAAAAATCGCCAGGTTGGAAACTGAAATTGCGTCACGCGCGTGTCCCAACAGCGCGAAAAATGCCCGCGGAATATTTAGAGCCGTATTACAGTGGTGTTTTGTCACGGGACCCGTCCGAAACTCCGTGCAACGTACGTGGAAGCCCGTAACCAGAAGCACGAACCGGTTAAAGCCGTGCCCGCAGCCGGTATACACCAACGCCCCGCGCCACTCGACAAGCGCATCGGATTTTCAAGTTTACTCGCCCGCCGGAGTTTCTCGTAAGCTTCTCGAAACTACAAATTTTGCATATCAATGCGCGTGGGTACACCCAGCCTGTCGACTCGATAAACGACTTTCCCCACCCCCTCCCTTTCCATCCTTCCACCTAGACATCCTTTTACCTTCCATAACCCGCGGGATTCCCGATTCCTCTCCTACGCTCGGTAATATCCTCGCTCTCTACCGGTATTCGCGGATATACGGATATCGTCTTCCCTTTTCGAGTCGAACTCGGTCCAGGAGCGGTTTCTATGGATCCAGCAATACCCCAGGAAATTGAAGCGAACCCCATGAATCTCTACCTTTCGCGGAATTATCTCGAAATCTGAAACGTTCTTTCCTAGATTTCCAAATGAAAAAAACTGTCGTCACACGTACACAGAGTAGACAAACTGTTCTCCGAGGGAGAATTTAATTACGTCCTCAGCGATGTATCATATGCGACAACGGTTTATCGGAGTTGGCAGTTTATAGTCTTTCCAAGGGCGGTACACCTCAGGAGAAACATAAATCCCGTCGATTTATCTTGGGGAACGTGGCCACGCGTACATCGTGGCCGCAAAACCAAATCCAACACCCGTGTCCAGGTTGTACAAGCAGGGATATTGTTTTGCCGCTATCGCCACGAGCGTGGATCGGTACACACGCTTATCAGGAAGGGTTAGCATGGCGGAGGCATTATTTCCGTCCGGTCAAGTGACCCGCCGCGCGTTGCTTTATCGGTTACGTACCGATCCGGGCCCTCCTCTCATCGTCTACAACTGCTCTCTCTCTCTCTTCTCTGGATCGTCCATGCATGGACGACCCTTTATGGGTTCGGGATACCTCGTGCAACGACCCGGACTGCGTTTCCTCCGACGATCCTAGAGAACTCCGGGGACAAAGGTCGTGGAGGAAAATCGCGTTCCTCGCGAGACTCACGAGCCTATCTGTCTGGGGACATTTATGTTTGTAGATCGTTAAATAATGGACCTTATCGGACGTAATTACTGCTCTGTGATTAATCGAGTCTCTCCCCCTTTGCTAGGTAAAATACAACCTATGAAACCTTCGGTCAGATATGGCCTTTCCTATCCTTGCCCAGCGACGTGTCAAAGGTTAGGTATTGGTCGAGTTCTACACCCTTTGGTAGGCGAAGATCATGCTTGGGAACGGAATAAAGAGCTCGAAGAAATATCAACGATCGATACTTTCCTGAGATGGCAGGAATCTCGTCCCTATTACCGCAAGTAGTCTCGAAGCCAGCTCGAAGAAGTAAGAAATATCGTGGCGAGAGTTTAAAAGCTGTTCGAAAGTTGATCGCGACGTTATTT